CTGAGTTTCGACCCCCGCAGTGGGCAGAACACACAGAGCCCATTGTGTAGCTTTGTGCTACAAACAATCAATCTCTTTTAAACGTCGCAAAATTTACGAAGACCATGAAAATATATTCTGAAATTAGCAAATGAAATAGAAATAATGGAAGCGCCACTCATACAAATAATAACGATCATTGACCTGTTCATCGATTAATTAATACAGTCGCTGAAGATGAAACGTGAATATTCCGAAATGTCCGACGATTGTTTGTTTGTTTGTTTTTGAATTTCGCGCAAAGCTACACGAGGGCTATCTGCACTAGCCGTCCCTAATTTTGCAGTGTAAGACTAGAGGGAAGGCAGCTAGTCATCACCATCCATCGCCAACTCTTGGGCTACTCTTTTTACCAACGAATAGTGGGATTGACCGTCACATTATAACGCCCCCACGGCTGAAAGGGTGAGCATGTTTGGTGGGACGGGGATTCGAACCCGCGACCCTCAGATTGCCAGTCGAACACCCTAACCACCTGGCCATGCCGGGGCCCTGTCCGACGATTAAACGTACATTACCGAAAATAGAGTGTCGAATGTTTGCTATTACCGTCGTTCTACTGAATATTATCAAATGTCTGTTTTATCGTAAGAGTGTATTTTAAAAGAATTCCTTTGATAGTTGAAATCTTTAAATATACGTGGAATACGTAATGACACATTTTGTGTTTGAACTCTAAGAACTAATAAGGATTTCTAGATTTAAAATAAATAAATATATGGAGAAATGAAATACCTTTACAATTAGAAGACAAGAAATTACGGTACACATATGTATATCAAATATAATTAATAGTTAAAACAACGGGATATGGTACGTTTTTATGAACAAAGTAAAATAAAATTCTGATTTGCGCGAGGCAGTTTTTTTGTAGCTAATTGTTGATACAAACAATTTTTATTTGGCAAGCGTTAAGATTAATTCGTTATTCCAATTGCTTCTAAGTTTAAATAAAAGCCGTCCCTAATTTAGCAGTGTAAGACTAGAAGGAAGGCACTTAGTCATCACCACCAACCGCCAACTCTTGTGCTACTCTTTTACCAATGAATAGTGGGATTGTTCGTCACATTATAACGCCCCTATGTCTGAAAGGGCGAGCATTTTCAGTGTGACAAGAATTCGAACCTGCGACCCACAGACTGCGAATCGAGTGCCCTAACCACCTGGCCATGCCGGGCCCCATAGTAGTTGTCTCGACATTATTTATATAATCAATTTCGTGAACAGTAAAATTTCAAAGTTAACAAAATACGTGAATGAATATTTCAAAAGTTTTCCAGTTCTTTTGCATTTTTAGAGGTACACAAATACAATTTTTACTTG